TTGTGCATATTGACGCTAAAAGGGAATTTTTGTGTGTAAAGTAAGTTTTGATATTAAACTATTAAGAGTATCACATGCCCATAGAAAAATTTAACTTCTTTTGGCCCAGAACCCTATCTCTGGCTCTTAAGTACTATTGTCACAGCTGTGTGCCACCATACCTGGCCTGGAAGAAGTCTGGATGACATAGCAATTGTATTCATCATTCGAAAGGGCTTTTCCTTTTAAGATTTATTTTTTCAATTACGTGTATGTGTGTATCTCTCTGTGTATGCCACAGTGTGCATGCATTCATAGAGGCCAGTAGAGGGCAGCAGATCTCCTGCATCTAATGTTAACAGGTAGTTAGTCACTCAACTTGAATATGGTGAACCAACCTCAGGTTTTCTACAAAAGCAATAAGTACTTTTAGCCCCTGAAAGATCTCTCCAGGTCTAAGCATTTTTTTTTTCATGATGGAACACAGACCACTGTCCTACTGTCAGTTCTTGGTGTTTCTGAGTTGTCTCAGAATCCTTCCTTATAGGAGGGTGAGCTCTTCAGAGTCATGTCCAGAACCAACACAAACTTTAATGACTTGGAAGCTGCAATCTTCTTTTGATGGAAGAGCTAAGTAATTTAGCTAGAGTCGATCATCACACGTTAGAAGATTGGTTAGTGTCAGCTGTTTCTATTATAAAGTCTGGAGTCTACTGTGTTGAAGTGGAGAAACCCAAACCAGCTTTAAACTCTGTAAGTTAATCTTGTAACCCTCCACAGTACTGAACATCAAAGCCCAGCTCCAACAGCTTATTTGGTCTTCTGTGCTATTTCTTTTGGCTCAATTATAAAGTCGGTTTAACTAAAAACTTGTAATTTCCACTGATGTCAAAAGCAGTTGAAAGGTTAGAGTCATTTCTTTCATCAGACACATTTTAAAGAAATAATAAATGTGTTAGTGCTGGGCAGACTCTGGCCTCAGATATTTTACTCTATGAAATATTTATGGGCTAGGTAGTCAATGAGAAAGACTTTACATTTTAACAAAGAAAGCATCAAGGCATGCAGCTAGTGAGAATTAAGCAGGAGTAACTCACCACATCCCGTACAATAGGCAATGTCTTTTTCCTGCGGAGATCAGGCATGCTATCTATTCCATACAGTCCACGCCCAGCCCTGAAAGGGGGCAAAAAAGCAATGATTTCAACAGAATAAATGACATTATATAAGGAAAAAGGTCCCCACTTTATATCATGTAAAGGCTGTGAAAGCTATCAAGTGGAGGTCATTGTTTTCAATTAATTTGCAAAGTGGTGAAGATCCAAGACTCTAGGTCTTTGTCCAAGGTGAAAGTCCAGCTGCTGCACCTGCAGATGATTTGTGTGGAGACCCCATGTGTTGAAACCTTAAATGCAAATGGCCTGGGGTAGACATGTTCCTTTTCTGTCAATATCACTGAGAGGAGAGTCAAAACTTTTAGGTACACAGAAGTTGGTGTCTCCAGCAGAAATCACAACCAAAGCATTCCTGGTTCAAGGGTAGTGAAGACATCTTTGTCATTTAAGTTCCTTTATTTTCTTTTTGTTCTGTGTGTAACACTGTCTGAGACTCAGGTCCAAAATGGCATTTCAAGAACCACAGGCAAATTTCAAGCACTAAACCATAAGCATTTCCTATCTAAATGTGTGGGATTAAAAGAATTTGTTGCCTTTTATTTTGTAATAGTAACAAAGGCTAGGTCAGCTAAATATTCATCTCAAGTATATTGATTAAGTGAATTTCTAAGAATGCAATAATTAAACAAGTGAGATAAACACGAAAGTATATAAAAAAAACTAAGGGGCTGGCAATATAGCTCAGTGGGTAGAGAACTTGCTATATAAGCATAAAGACTAGAGTTCAGATTCCAGCATCACAAAAAGCTAGAAGTCCCACAAACATCTACAACCCCATGTCTAAGGTGGGGGATACGGAGACAGGAGGATGAATGGACAGGGATTGCCTTGCAAATGCAAGCCACAGGTTTAGGGAGAGACCTTGCCTCATAGGAACAGATGGAGAAGTACTGCAGAGGCCAGCTGATGTCCTTTCCTGACTTCTGTGTGCATGTGTACACTCTGAACATGCTCACAGACACATACACACATAAATCTTTAAAATCTTAAGTACAAAGTGCAAAAATCGAGTATGTGTAAGCTTAGTGTGATCCTGTGTGTATCTGTGATTATGTATGCTCAGAAAATATATAGAATGCTGTTGTTCAAACTTAAAAGTGCAGTTACCTGTGTGGAATGAAAGCAGGTGAGAGAAAAGGAGACTCACATATGGGTAGGTGGTTTTCTAATAATGTATCATTTTATATATGCACAATGGTCAGAATAATTTTAAGAGATGTATTTTTATGTTTCTTTAAAAGTGAGTTTGGTATCCTGAGCTTGGCCTCCTCTCTTCACTTCTGGTTTTGATTACTTTGAGACAGGGTTTCATGTAGCCCAGCCTGGCCTCCCATTCTTTATGTATCCAAGGATGACTCTAAACTTCTGATCCTCCTGCTTTTACTTCCCAAGTGCTGGATGACAGGTCTGTGCCACCATGCCTGGATTATATGGTACTGGTGATCAAACCTTGGGCATGCTCTTCAGGCTTTCTCCTCTCTGAGTTACACCTTAGCTCCAATGCTGGCTTCTAATTGCACCAAATCCAGTCATTTTGCACAGCCAATCAACTTCTAAAATCTGATGACAGTGTCTCCTTACGTGGACGTGGTCTATAAATCTCTGTGGCTGCTTTGCTCATCTCCTGAGGACCAGCACACTCACATAAGCAGCCCAGTCCAGCCCTTGCCTATTGCAGCAGCCTGGCAGCTCCGCCTCTGTGATGGGCTGTAAGAGTTGATGACAGGCTATTGGTATTTTAGAGCCCCATTCTCCACTGACACAAAGATGGCCTCTGGTGTGACATTTTGCTTGACAGAGGACAACTTTGTCCTACTGGATTTTTCATCCCCCCTGGCTGTTGGAATCAAATATTGGTTTGGTAATTTTAGACAAATAAATTGTCACATTTATCACATAACTCACAAAATAATAATTAAAGTAAAACAGTGACAATAAAGCAGCAATGAATAGATAAAAGAGGCACAACTAAGTTTGGGGACACACATCGAGTGATGGAATAAATGCGAAGCTTTGGAAGCGCTTCGTAAGGACAGTAAAGTGCCAGTGTTGAAGAACAGCTTTGACGATTAGCCGCTGCGGCTTGAGTGTGTCCCCACACAGAGTCACGAGCTTACTTAAAAATGTGAGGTTCTTAGAAACAACTTGATGGCACAGTTCATGAACCTGGTAGGTGACACTGAGTCACAAGGTCAAAAGGCTGACCATGCCTGACTTAAGTCATTGGATGAAGGAGGGGGGTTGAATGTGGGCAGAGAGCGAGATGGATGAAGGAAGAAGAGACGTGGAAGGAAGTGACATGCTTAGCTCACGAGACCTAATACCCCGGTCTTCACAGTGTGGCGAAGATGCTGACACATGAGTGATGTGGAATAATCCTTTTGTACACCGTGAAGATGTGTCACTGAGATTGGTTTAATAAAAAGCTGATTGGCCGGTAGCCAGGCAGGAAGTCTAGGTGGGACAACCAAACTAAGGATGCTGGGATGAAGAAAGGTGGAGTCAGAGGGGTCGCCAGGAGACACGGAGGGAGCAAGACATGCTGGAGGACAGGTAAAGCCATGAGCCATGCGACAATACATAGCTTAATAGCAATGAGTTGATTTAGGTTATAAAAGCTAGTTAGTAAAAAGCCTGAGCTACCCGTCAAGCATTTATAACATTAAGCCTCTGTGTTGGTTATTTGGGAACTGGCCGTCAGGACTGACGCTTTCACCTACACATGGGCCAGTTGTATGGCCTATTGTCCCAGGCGATAGGAAGCTGAGGCAGAGAGGGATAGTTTAGTTGAGCCCAGGCCTTTCAGCAATTCTGTACAACACAGAATGAGACACCAATTCAAGAAAACAAACGGAAGCCAAGTAAAATGAAAAACCAAAGCTATAACACCCCAAACTAAAGTTTAGCTACTGCCCAGAATAATTCAAACTGAGTACTCTAGGTCACAGCTGTAATAGTCACAGTGAGTCAGAACTTCAGATTTGGGGTCACAAAATGATGGCAGCAACGTTTTCTTCCTCTTTCTCCCTCTCTCCTCTTCTTCCTCCCCTCACTCACTGTTCTTCTTGTTCCTCCCCCTACTTCTCTTGCTCCTCCTCTTTTAACTCCTCCCCCTCCTCTACTTTTCCCTCCTCCCCCTCCCCCTCTTGCTCCTTTTCTTCTTGTTTTTTCATACTAGAATAGCTCTTTGACTTCTATTTTCTATTTTAATTGATTGAAAATTGTATATATTTTGGCATGAAGTATGTTGTTTCAGTCTATACATAAATCACAGAAATTTTCAATCAGATTAGCATTCATCATCTTTTCATTTGTAGTGAATATTCTTCTGAACATTAGAAAGTTGCAGAATAGGAAAAGGAAAAAGAGCCATAAATTTATTTTTCTTCACACCCATCTTCACAAAGTTCACTAACAAGCTATTAGTATAATTCCCAGCTCCCCTCTTCTCATGTGTCTAAATTTCTACCTTCTCCACAACTCACAAGTACTGAGATCACTTGCTATACAAAGTACTTTCAACAATATTTCCATGTCATTCACTCCAATTTTAGGCTGTGATTCTAAGAAATGTCTCCATGTCTCCCCATGAATCGTAATAATATAAAGTATACATTAGCTAATATCTTCCACAGCACTGCACATCCATCATACTAACCACTGCCTTCAAGTATTTCAAAATGTTTTGACTTGTAAATAATATAACTGCCACAGCCATATCAAGAAACACGATCAATTAAAACAATGATTGAAAAAGAGATTGTACAAATAGCAGTGTTGTGCAATTGAGTTGTGTGCTTTATTTCCTATCAATTGTCACAAAAAATTTTTTCTGTTTTCTTACAGAGCATGATTGAAATTGCTGAAAGATATCCAGATCCTTAAGCTAAACTGAAAGATGTTTGAGAATAATTTTCACACACTTCTATCCTGTGACTATTTTAGCAGAGCATAGACATATATAGACCTAAGCCAAACTTGGGTGCTGTGGAATAATGAGTGCAAGGTAGAAGACCTTGTATGTATCTGTGTCTGTCTTTGTTTCTGTCTCTGTCTCTGTCTCTCTGTCTCTCTGTCTCTCTCTCTCTCATGTGGGTGCTGGGACCAAACTCGGGGCCTCTGCAAGAACTGTAAGCAACCTTAACCACTGAGCAACCCCTTGAGCCCATAAAAATGAATTCATTTGTTTGTGTGTGTTTTTTTAATTCTCTCAAATATTACATCCTGACCACAAAAATTCTTAACTCCCACAGATAAGCTCCTGTGATTTTTTTTAAAATCAAGTGTATATATATATAATTTCATCATTACTATAAAATGTTTATATATAATAAATTAAAATGAATATACACACATACATTTTAATGAGCTTATCCATCTAGCAATAATAAGTATTTCACTGTAAACCTAGACCCCAAAGAGTCTGGGTTAGGTGTGTGGCTTGGTGGTAGAGTTCTTACCTATGAAGACATTAGCTCCTCAGCAGTGAAAAATAATAAAGACTGCTTGCTCACTGGCTTCACAATGGAGCTAGAGATGTACTTGATACATCCTGTAACTCTATACAAATGCAGAAGAAATCTTACCAGGAGAGAGGTAGGGAAGATTCACTTTTAAAAATGAGTAGACTAAACATAATGGTGAGCAAGGCATTGACTTTCCAGACTAGAGGTCAAGGGCTCTACTCTAAGCCCTGCAACTCCCCAGACTCAGTAACGAGGGGGTCAGAAGAGGGTGCCCGAATATCAGGTAGACCAGTAACTGAAGGAAAGGACTGATTCTAGGTAGATGCATTTTAATGACATCACTCTTACTGTTGTTGATTGGATTAACATGGCTATGCCTATGACCAACACATTAGTTAAAGACAGTTAATAAGTGGGGCTTACCAGGTGCCAGACACAATGAATACAATTACCACTGACATTGACATGTGCTTATTATTCTAAGTATGTGTATTTCATTTTATCTTAAGAGATTACTATGAAGTATGGTTATAATTATTTCCCTCATTTTATGAATGAGGGACAGGAGAACTCAAACTCTTCAGAATCATCTGGAAGGCACTACCTGAAATGGCAGTGGTAGGATTTGAACCCATACCCCAAGGCTCAGCAGGCTGTATTGACCGTAAGACTGGATCATCCCATTATTGACCATGTGATGAGTTGAGGTCACAGATAATTCAATTAGATGGTTCATGAAACTGATGTTAAACAGCCTGTCTGTCCAGATCACACAGCTGATATAGGGTCAAGTTTGACTTTACTGCAGGATTATTTTGCCTCAACCCTCCTGTGCTCCTGAGCAAGTAGGCTCTGGCCAGGATGAAGTGAGTGGTCTGCCTAGCCGGTCCAGAGTTCTGGATAATATTTGGGTTATTTTCAAAATACTTCAAGAGAGTTATTATCTTCAGACTGGAAAACACATTTCACTGTGTAAATGGCCTCAACCCTCCACCAATGGCTCCTCTCTGGTATACACTTAGACTGCACACACTGCAAATGGGATACAGAGGTGACAGGCTACCACTGAACTCTCAGGAAAGTTAAGAATCAAATGAACCTGACAAAATGGATGTGATTTTGCACACAAATCAAGCAAGAAGTTTTCTGATAGGACTTTGTTCTATTACACAAGTTTTGAAATTATTATTATTTGCTTTTTGAGACAGGGTATCACTATAGAGCCTAGGTTCTTATAGGTCTTTTTGTGTAGCCCAGAATGTCTTAAAATTTATAATCATCTTTCCTTTATCTCCAAAGTGTAGTGATTACAGGTATGTGCCATACTGCATATTGTAAAAGGCTTAAATGAATGTTATTTTAACTGTAATACCAGTAACTTTACCTTTGGGCTTCAGTGTGGTACTTTGATTAAGTATGCAACATATATGGTTAAATGAAACTAATCAATATATCTACTGTCTTCCTTACCTGTTATGTTTCTTATAGTGAGGTTTTTAAACTTATACTCTTAGGTAAGAGAATTTTACTATTTTCTTTGCCTTTTACTGTTTCTTTTTTTTCTCCACAAAAACTCTTAAAGTAACTTAATTCCAGTAGACATGGGTTTCAGTTAGTTGTATGATTACAAAATAAATGAAGGACAAATTCTCTATAGAACATATATTTTGCAAATTTTGAGAAGTGTTACATCTGGGTAAAGAATTAATGATTATGTTCTTTCTTGTTTTCAAAGTTAATTTATTTTATGTGTGTGGATGTTTTGTCTACAGGTGGGCATGTACACCACAGGCATGCAGTGCCTATGGAGGCCAGAAGAAGGCAGAAGATCCTCTGGGAGTACAGTTACAGATGGTTGCAAGTCACCATGTGAGGGCTGGGGCAACCAGTGTTCTAAACTGATGAGCCATCTTTCCAGCTTCAGTAATGTTCTTCTAAATAGACCTAATAACATACTGAATGCATGGAGACTGGAAAAGAACTCCAGGAAGATGCTAGGAGAATACAACATGTAAAACAGCAGGCAGTATATGAAAACTGTTCAGCATCACTCATCAACAGGGCTCAGTATGCTATCCTCAGGGGAGCCCATTACACCTGTTAAAATGGCTGCTATCAACAAGACAAAAGACAAATGGTTTTGTGCAGAACATTGAGAGTGGAACTTACACACTTTCGTGGCTTGCAAAATAGTATAGTCATCGTAGGCAGTAGTACGAGGATTCCTCATAAAGTTAACAAGCACAGTGACAGTAAATGAATGAAAACTTGATTACTGTGATTTATCCATACAAAGTGGCATAAATATGCCAAGAGATACTTGTACCCTTTCTTTACTGCAGTCTTATCCATAAGGGCCAAAATGATGAAATGAACGTAGATGTCCACATGCAGATGAATGATGAAGGAAATATGGTGTACCATAGAATGCTGTCTGGCCATTTAGAAGAGGAAACCCCACCATTTGTGACAATGAGGATGACTCTGAAGGACACCAGGCACAGAACCACAAACATGGCATGATCTCTCTAGAAGAAGAATTTAAAAATGCCGACTCTGTGAAATGGCAGTTATGAGGATCTGGCTTGGGTAGCATGCAGCAGGACCAAAGAAGTGCTGATCAGAGGGTGCATTCTTATTGCAAAAAAGTTAAGTATGTGATATTAAATATATTACCTAAGTGTAGTTTTCATTCTTTAGTGTTTCATATTTTAAATCACTGTATGTAATGAAAGCATAAATAGTATGTTCTGTTAGTTAAAAAAATTAATAGTCAGAGATAAGATAATTTATAAGGAGAAAAATAGCAAGCATTTTCCCCAAAGGTTGATCTTTTTGAATATAAGGCAAAGCAATTTGATTTCCATATGAGGATGGCTGATGACTAATAGCTAATGTCCGATGAATAGCTAATCTCCATCTGATATCAGAAAACAGGTTGACTATATACAAAAGAGATATTAAATTAATTGAAGTCCTAGGGAAAAATGATGCTGAGCATTTGTGATTGTTTCTGGGTTTCCAAGACAATTGCTAGAGACAGCTGCATGATTCATTTTCTTAGAATCAAGGAACATTTAAGATTGTGAGAGATTAATAAAGAGTCATTCTAAACTCCTTTAGTTTAATCCTTTACTGCTAAATGTATAATAATGTTTCACTTTTTCATTTAATATTATAAATTCACATACATTTAACACAACTCTTCTGACAATAATCATGCAAGTCCTTACTCTGAGTGTAAACTAGCCAATAGGTTTCTTTCCCACCTGACCTCTTTTTTTTTTATTACTGTTAAGTGTGAATAGATATTTGCCTGTGTAATCAAGGATCCACTCTTGATACAGGATTAATCACTATTTCCTAAATGCTTTTTGAGTCCACCTTTAATCACACCTAAGACATCAGCTGATCACTCACAAACTACAAATGCTCAGGGCGTCAGACAATGTGGCAGTCCATCTTCTCTTACCATCTAATAGGAGGGGCAATGAGCTGAATTGGAGGTAAAGAGCCTGCCTCCAAGCCTGAGAACCCGAGTTCAATGCCAGGGTCCCACATGGTGGAAGGACAGAACCTAGTGCTGGTTGTTTCCCTCACCCACCCCTCCCCACATGTTTTAGTTGTGAATATTCTAATATTATGCCTGTAAGATTTTCGTCGACTTTTCTGCCACCCAGCTTCTCCATGTGGCTCCTTGATCCGTTTTACCCTGAACAAAGTGGCTGCATCCACCTTCCTCTAGGTGTTTAGCCATGACACCAATGTGATTGGATGTGTGTTTTAAGGCCAGCTCAGCAGTATTGTTCCTAATATATTGGACATGGTCTATGGATTGTTGAAGTAATACCATATTTCTTAATGGATTCCTTAATGAGGGTCACAACTGAGGCGGTTTCTCCACTTTCTTTTCCAACCCTCCAGTCCACTTTATAAATTTGGTAAAACCCCCAATTTGAACTGCTATCATATTTTAAAGAACAAATGGCCTCTATGTCAGAGATACTTTGTATTCTACTAAATTACTTTCTCCTTTCTTGGGCATTTGACCTCGTAAAGCTCCCTGATGCCCCTTAGCAATTTAGGCAGGGTTCTCTGCATCTAGTTCTTTCTCTCTCTGTCTCTGTCTCTCTTTCTCTGTCAAACTCATATTCCTTTGAAGCACATTTTCAGAAGCATTTGACCTCATTATTTATCTTTATATCATTTTTAAGAAGCTAATGGCATTTAAGTTTTTTGAAAGACATACTCAGGGTATAAAAGATTACTATTCTGGTGGGAAAGCAGAATGTAAGTCATATTTCCAGTGACTAAAGTCAGGCTGAAGAGATGCCTCAGTGGTTTAGAACACTCGCTACTCTTCTGGAGGACCTCTGTTCGATTCCCAGAACCCACATCAAGTGGCTCACAACCACCTGTAAGTCCAGATGCAGGGAGCCTGGGACCCTCTTTTGGCCCGTGTGAACACCTACATGCAAAAGATATACACTCAGACATACACTCATGCACAAACAAGTGAAATAGTAAATAATCTCCAAAAATCATTCTTTTTCATAGCAAAAGAAAAGAATCCAATGGTCCCCTGTATTTACATGAGATAAAACCTAAACATGGCTTTTGACTACACCACCAGCTTTCTCAGGGAGGGACAATTGAGGACAATGTCAGCTGTCAGAGATTGACTTCTAACCACTCAATCACAATACATATCCTCAAGGCTCATTATCTACCAAATTGTTAAGTAGACAATGTAGCCTTTTCCAGGGCTTTCGGAGTTCCCCATATCAACCCCCATTTTGCCTATCCTGTGGTTTATATGTACCCAAATAACTCACACACATTATTGTATGCTGCTGAGCAGAAAACATGCAGCCCCCACATTTTCTCACAATTAAGCACCAATTACTATTTGAAAACAATTTCCCCTAAATTAAAACTTGTGCTGGATAGGTTCTCTCCTTAGAGAGCTAATGTTAAAACTTTTGTAGTAACTGTGAAATTGTGTGTACAATTGCACCTTGGCTTGGAGCTAATTTCCTTAGTAATCGTTTCTGGGAAATCTCTGGCTCCATTTACACACAGTTTGCAAAATACAATCATTTGTAATTAATGAAAGGCCAGCTGCTTAATAGACTAGACTCAAATGTCATTAAATGGAATCAAATATCCAATAGCAAAGAAACTGTATTTCTTAAAACCTGAAATTGTAGATTCCTTTTAATTATAGTTTGGTAGATGCCTGCTGCATATTCTAATCCCTGAAATTTTTAACAATTGAAGCCTCTCCCATCAGTACTGAGAATCAGCAGAGCTGGAAGGCAAATGTGGAAGCTATTAGGCAGTTTCTGGCCTTCCCAGCCCAGCTCCCTCTGGTTTGCAGACAATGTGTCTAACAGCCTTTCTCTCAGAGCTGTTCATTTGCTGCTGGTGATGCACCCAACCACCAACAGAAGACACACTCAGATTTTCTGAGTAGCTCCAGGGCAAGGCCTTTCTGGCTTGCTCACCTCAAGGACAGACTGAAGAGTAAGAAAAACAGAAACTCATCTCAGGAATCCCTGTGTCCCCAGATAAGACCACAGAGTCAAGTCCTGGTTATATGTGACATGCTGGTTATGGCAGAGCTTCAAGGAGTCTAGAAGGTTCTTAGTGTATAGTTAGAATCACATATGCACCATTATGGTTTTAATCCACTGTTGACCAGAGGTGGGTACTACAGGGATTCCAAGAAATACAATATTTAAAGCTAGACTATATTATAGTTTGCCATGATATATCATGGCAGTATAGTTTTTAAACATTCCTATGAGCAGGACCCCTCTCCCCTTACGTTTCACCTTGGGCAGCTCAGGCTGTCCCTTCACCTTCCTGGGTATGTGACTGACACTCCTGTGATTGACAGAGTGCTGGCACCTGTGCAACATAGAATAATCTCTTTTTCCTGAAGGTTTGGAGTTGACAACCTCTTCTGCTTGGCAAGCTACAAAATAATTATGTGTTACAAAATAACTGGTCTGCACACCGTGACTGTACTCCAGGAAGAGATTACCTGGTGGTCTGTAAAGCTTACAGAGTCCACAGGCTCCCACTGTGGTCTCTCAAATAGCTGAATTGAATGGTAACAATGTTACTATTGTGTCCAGTGCATTCCTCTTAAGAAACACATAAAATGATGAGCTAACTATACTTGGCTTGTATATGACTGTCTCAGATGAGACTCATCCAAACCAGGAGCTATACATATTCACTTTCATCTTGAGTATTTAGAATAGGGCTTTACATAGATTACTTAATAAATAAGAAAATGAATGGAAGAATAGTTATTGAAGCAAACATGTCCAGGTATGCATGCACCCACAAAGAGGCTGGGTATTTCTAAAGTTAAAGACTGCCCTAGATTTCTTTTCTGTGTTCAGATGATTGTTGTGCTGTGGTCACTGGGGAAGAATTCAATTCATTATTTCTCTAGTCCAAATGTTCTTGCTGGTGTTACCACGGGGGTTTTATGTCCTCTTGACAATCAGAGGTGAGGGTGAAGAATGTGAAGTGTCCCTAAGGGAGGCACCTGGCAGAGCAGATAGAGCAGCTGGGAACTCACATCCAACCATGATGTGAGGACAGCTATTTAAACAATGACAAATCAATAAATGTTAAGTTTGAAGAGTGGACTCACTCTGCTAGCTAGCTGCCAACTAGTATTCTAGAATTTTTATTCAAAACCAGCATTTCAAATACAAACACAGGCATAGCTAGAGTGACTGACTGGGGCAAGGACACAAGAAGACATATGGTGGGAAAGTCTTTGCTCTAGGCAGTTGCAAGGAGATGCCTGTCACATACCTCAGTTTACAGTCTTTTTTCAGTGTGTGTCTAGATGCGAGAGTGACTTTCAGTAATAGTGTATGATTCCGATTTTAGAGAGGAAACACCAGCCACTGATGTATGTGGTTCCTAGGAAGCAGACTTCCTGGATATAGCAACACAACAAAAACTAACCTGAGGCTTTTCCTTGCATGCACACCTGCCTGGTATCCATCCAATCCACCTATTGCACAGGTGCCCCTTCGGCAGCCTGCCTGGTATTTGACCATGCTACCTGCGACACAGATCCCTCCTCAGCAGTTTGACGTGTTGAAGGCTTCATTACTTGATTACCCTACCTTGGGAAATGAGGTAAGGAAGACCCAGGCCAGCCTGATTTACTAACTATAAACATTTTAGTAAGGGAGCAGGTATGGCCAGCTCCCACCAGCAGCAAGTCCCTCGTGTCATGGCTTAGTAACATGGCTCTCTGGGGAAGGTAAAGCATTGGAAACAATGCTGATTTTGAACTTTATAAAATAATGGGGAGCTGGAAGTGAATGAAGCAATAAGATGCCATATCTCAGCTCCTCCCTTCCAACTTGGGGACGACGTGTCAGAGACAGCCGACTTTCGGCTGCTGTTCCAGTGGTGTCACAGGTCATGAAAACCATGATGCATTTGGACCTGAGTTCTAGTTACAGAGTAGGCAGCAATGATGTGGACTCATTCTCACCCCCCTCCCCCCGCCACACACACTTATTTTAGAAAAAGCAACGAAGCTTTGATTTTCCACATGTGCAATATTCTCAGATGCCATCTCACTTTGCACCCAGCATTCAGTTCTGTTCACACTGAGGCACAGCAATGGGACAAAGTGTGATCCTGGGGGAGGTGGCTCCATGGTGTATAGATCAACCAGCAGTGCACTGGCGCTGTCCCTGTGGCTCTGGACAGTGGACTAAACACACATTCCCTCACTTCCAGCTCAGACCTGCCATAGCCATAGCTTGCAATTTATCCCAATCAGGTAATACACACTAGGAAAACAGGTAGATGCCACAGAATGGGGTCTTTTAACAGAGAGCAGGCTGTAAGCTACCTGCCAGTGTACCTGTGGCCACACCTCTGGCTAAAGTCACTCAGGTATTGCTATAACTTGTTATGTCGCTAACACCTAATTCCTTTGCCCTCTGCAGCCTACTGTTGACTGACATAGACCCTGAAAGTCTTTCTACATTTTGTTCATACAAATATTCAAGTTCTTGAAATTAAGTATCCTGAGGTCAGCAAGATGGCTCGAAGGGTAAAGGATATTGCCAATAAGCTTGATGACTTGAGTTTGATCCACATGACCTACATGGCGGAAGGAGAGAACCATCTCATACAAATTATCTTTGAACTTCATACCTGCAATATGCACCTATGCATGCGCGCGCACACACACAATCTAAAATAAATATGATAAACGTTATCTGAGAAACTCCAGTGAAATAGTCCAGTCACATGATTTGGCAAGGACTTCAGTGCGGTGCTCTTTGAATTCCCTGGTTGAAGCTACTGAAGCAGTGAGTATGCTCCTACATTACGCCCAGGTTCCTGAAGTGTCAACTTAGAAAGGCAATTATCCTTAAGTCTCTTGTGTTTCTGGGTATCTTGCTCGTGGAGCCACTGAGTGCCTTCTGTGGTGCATGCTTCTCTGGAGTAGAGGATGGATATATTTGCTGATCAATATAATAAATGCAATGTCTCTGTGAGGCAAAGTTTTATTTTGTTGCTGTGGAGGTTTGAATGAGGAT